GGGGGGGGGGCGTTGCAACAGATTTCTCCACCCCCCCCCACCTCCTTCCACCCTGGGCAGTGACGGATTGCAAGTTTTAATGCACCTAGCATCCTTTTGCAATTTAATTATTTTGGCCGAAATCGCCCTCCCACAGCTTTTCAGCGCAGGCTTGCGGGCATGCAGTGGCTGCTACTGGGGGCAAAGTTTGAAGAGGGGTGTCCCTACCCCTAGGCCCCACCCCACCTGGAGCCCCGGGGCGTGCAAGGCTCTCTGCTGCTGCTGGGAAACGCCCGCGGCAATCCCCTTGACCCTGCCCTGTAACTGACCCAAGGGGAAAAGCCCCCCGCACGGCTACTGCGCATGCTCTGAGCTGGACAGCTCCAGAGAGGGAAATTTAAAAACGGTTCTTGCTGCGACGGCGGCCAAATTGCAGAGCGCGAGGGGCGAGCGCGAGGGAGTCCCCCTCCGAAACCCCCGCCTGCCCCAGAAGCGCCGGTAGCGGCGGCCCCGCGAGGATCGGCTCCAGGTACCGCCTTGCAGGGTCGGCTTTGCTCCCTCCTCCTGGGCAGTGCCCTGCATTGCATTTCCAGGGTGGAGACCGGGGCTGCTGCCTCTCTCTGCTCCCCCATTTTCCTTCCCAGGAATCCCTGAAAGACTTTTGGGGCTGATGTGAGAATCTATGATGGGTTTCTGTGTAAGTTTCAGGCTTGGAGTTGGAGAAATTTAGGGAAGATTTATTTTATTTTTTAAGGCTGTGTTTATATGTGGCGTGGGTGAAGTGGGGGTTGGTTTTCCCACAAGGGCATGTGGCCTTTCTGAAGGCATTACTGGGGCGGGGGCCATGCGGGGACCATTCCCATTGCAAGTGGAAACTGGGCTCCCCGGGAGAAACATACATGACACATCCAGCCGTCCTTTTTTGTTTATTTTTATTTTCAAAGTGATTGTAACTGAGCTGCGGTTGAACATGTTAGGCTTGGAAGGGAGTCAGGTTTATCGGATTCCTATTTTGTGAATCCACATTTTCCAAGACTTGACACTTAGATTCTAAAGCCTTCCTCTGCCCTTCCCCCATTAATTTGAAAGAACCTGGAATTTCATTCCATTCTCTTCATTTGCTTCTAAAACCTTGTAGAATTGCCCTGGGAAAGTGACCTGTGATGCCCAGGAATCCTCTAGTACTTTTTTTTCCTCTCCTTGTCTTTCTTTCTTTTTAAAAAAAGTATTCCGTTAGTTGTTTGAGCTCCATCCTTCTGAACTGTGGGAAAACTGTGGGTTTCTGCCCTGTCCAAATACTTGCTCATGGGAGCTTTGTTTTCTGCTTGTTTTTTCCCCCAAGGAGATGATAGAAAGCCACATCTCATCCATAATGTCAGGAATTATTCGAAACTCAGGGCAAAATCACCACCCCTCTCCACAGGAATACAGGTGAGGGCTTCAACAATAACAAACATATTTTGTAATTGTTTAAAGTGTACACGTGGGGTTTATGGTTTCTGAGAACTATTGTTACAGTGAACTCTGCGATTTGGCAGGAGAGCTCGGATGTCTTGATATCAAGGTTGGACTACCTGAGGGTATCATGCTTGTGGCCTGGAGCGGTGGGACCCCTAAATGCCTGTAGTCTTTTGTCCCCTCCAAGAGTGGTCCCCTCCTGGGTGAGAGACTGGACATCCTCGTGAATGTTAAGATGACAATAGCAGCTATTGCTTCCCCTCCAATAGCCCTAATGAGGCTCCAGGAAATACCCCAAAAGCTTTTGGGGGTACAGGATTGGCTTCCATCCTCCTTGGATGTTGGAAAAGTTGTGAGTTAGAACTCCTGGATTCTTATCTTGGCTGTATGACTTTCAGCAAGTGCCTTGCCCTCTCTGGGCCTCATTCCCTCATCAGTTAATGATGATCTTGAATTAGATTGTCTTAGGGTCTCTTGTAGGTCTACAGTATTTGAAGGATAAACTACATGGAGACTGAGGCCGAAATAAATTATTTCTTGGGACAGGATGAAGTGAGATACATGTGTGTGTGTGGGAAGAGTGCTTCACTTTTTTGTCTTCCAACATCATACCTAGAAAGACCCTTAAATGGGTCAACTCGTCTAGCTCCCTTCTTTTACAGATGGGGAAACTGAGGCCAAGAGAGGCGAAGGGGCTTGTCCAAGGTCACACAGTAAAGGGGAGGGAAGAGAAGGAAAAAGGAAGAATCTGGAGTTCCCTCCCAGCTTCTCTCCCTTGAACTGGGGGAGGCCTGACCTGGTTCCCAGCCCTCCCCACCCCCATGGCAAATGCCATACCCATGGGTTGAAGGGGCACAGCCCAGATTATGGAGTGGGGAACAGGACAGGGGCTGGCCTGGGGAAAGCAGGCTGTGTGTCACCTTGGATCACCGCCACCCCACCCCTGGGGCCACTGTAACGCACCAGCAGTGCCTTGTGGGGCAGACCGCAGCCCTCAATTAGAGGGAGGCTGCTTCCTTAGGGCTGTGGGTCTGGAGGCTGCCTTCAGAGACCCAGATGAGGCCACCAATTCAAACAGGTATTTGCCGAGAGTCTGCTGTGTGTGGAACTGGGGTCCCAGATGTGGGCCAGGCACGTGGCAGTTTGTGAGCACCTACTGTATGCCAGTCCCTCACTCACTTCAGCCTGGGAGGCTGCTCTGATGAGTCCTGTTGTTACAGGTGGGGAAACTGAGGCTCAGAGAAATGAAATGGCTTTCCCAAGATCATACAACCAGAGACCTCTGGGCTTCCCTCCAGCACCAAAAGGGTTTAAAGAATGGCAGATGGAGTAGGGCCAGCCTGAAGGTTAGGAGCTTGGGCTCTGGAGTTCATTAGAATCCCAGGTCCTCGGCCTATGTAGAGCTCCTTGAGCCTGTTCTCTCATCCATAAAATGGGGATAGAAATAGTACCCAAGTAATTCTGACCCTGCCTCTTGCCAATTGTACGATCCTGGGCAAATCCTGGGTGCCCAGCCTTTCTTAGTCACATGGATTCAGGGCTGTTTTCTTGTGATGAACAGCTAGTGCCTTTAGAAGGCAGAATATCATCATCATCATCATCATCAGTTTCCTAACACTCTGTGCAAAAACCACCCCATCAGAGTAGCACATTTGTGCCCATTCAGCAGATGAGGAAACCCAGCGTCAACCAGATGAAGTGGCTTAACAAGAAGACGCAGATAGTTATGGGTAAAGTGAGGACTTGAACCTAAGGCTATCACACCCAGAGTCCGGCCCCAGAGCCCACTGGTGAAGAGCACAGGTGCTGGAACAGAATAAGTTGCTCTACTACCTTGTAGCTGCGTGACCCTGAACAAGTCACTGTCCCTCTCTGTTCCTCAGTTTCTTCATCTGTGCAATGGAACAACGAGAGAACCCAATTTGCAGGTTATTGGGAAGATTTTGTGCTTCTGTCTAGAAAAGGTGTTCAGCCAGGCCTGGGACAGAGCACTTTCTCATGGAAGGGGACCTTTTATGATCAAGCAGCCACTCCTCCACTCCTTCCAACCACTCCCATTTTTTCCCCCACATAACAACCCCAGAGACGTTTATGGGCTTCTCATGCCCCCTCCCACATTTCCGTGAATGGCTCTAAGGGCCATTTCCGTGAATGGCTCCAGGCTGCTGGTCCAGCTTGTTCAAGCCCCCATGCAGCCCTCCACGCAGCTGCCTGCCCCTCCATCCCCAGGGGCTGAGTTTGGCCGTTAACTTTCAATGGCTGTGTGCAGGGAGGTGGGGCGAGAGGGCAGCAGCTGGAGGCGTCTGCCCTGTCCCCAGGGAGCTGTCAGGAGTCAGCGGTGGCCTAACCAGCAAATTGGCAACAGTCGCCCCGCCTGCAACACTGTGGCCAGGGGCCAGTGGGCAGGGGCAGCCCTGACCTCCTGGGCAACGGCAAACAGCTCTTGCTCAACATGGGGTTAGCTGTTTTCCCCTTGGCTCAAAGGCTAGGAATGAAGTCCACTCTTAGAGGTGCTGAGAAATAGAATTCTTAGCACCTACTGTGTGCCTGCACCTGCTAAGCTCCTTAACAAGTGCACCATCCCATTGTATCTTTATAGAAACAGCCATGAGATAGGTGCTGGCATTACCCCAGTTTACAGACAAGAATACCGCAGCCCAGAGCCATGACTTGCCCAATGGCGTGCATTCAGAAAGGGGCAGAACTGCAGGTTTTATCCACCCGCCCCAAATCTGGAGATTTATTCTAGAGGTCAAGTCCAACAAACTCCTTTTACAAATCGGGAAACTGAGGCCCAGAGAGGTGAGAGAAGTCAGGCTGCTGGCTCCTCAGACCCTCGCCTTCTCCCAGGGCCAGGAGGCTCACTGGTTCTCCTTCCAGGTTCCTGTGCCACCCCCTCAGTCCCTCAGTCCCTCTTCTAAGAAATTAGGTGACCTTGGGCAAAAGCCTTCCCCTCCCTGGACTGTGGTGTTCTAATCCGTGAACCACAGGGCAGGGCACATGGCAGATACTTAAATATTCATTGGGTAGATGGAGGGTTGGGTGAATACCAAATGAGAAATAACACATATGTGGAAACGCAGGGAGTCTGTATGCTCAAGGGATGGCAAAATCCTGTTGCATGGATCAGGACAGGCAGACCCACTCGCTTTTCCTCTTAAGCCCCACTGAGCTGTGTATGGAGATGGTTTAGCCCCCATATCAGCATGGCTCAACCCATGATTTATAACCTCCTTGCTGGGGCTATGAGGGCTCCATCCTTCAGGGGTGGTGACCATCCCAACATCCTTACAACCCTTCATCCTCATGGTGCCGGAACAGCTCCTTGTGGGCAGTACCCTGTGGGCAAGGAAGAGAGGTAGCTTTCCTGAGGTCCAGCCCTCCTTTGGGGTCTTGTGGTTCCACCTCCATAAACATGGGTATGCGTGCACACGTACACACACACACGCACACACACACACACACGCACACCAATTCCCAAGCCAAGTTCTAGAAAGGGAAGATTCTCTTTTCCAAATTTCTAATCAAATCATTTCACATTTCGCTCACTGTTGGTCCAGTGGGAATTTCTGAGGTTGCTAAATTGCTTTTGATTTTGTTTTTCCTGGAAACGGTTACAAAAGATATTACAAAAGCTATGTTAGGTAAACAAACACCTCAGTGAAAGACTTAATCCCTTTTGTGTAAAGGCTGAATTAGAAATAAGAAGAGTTTGTGGTAATGTAACAGTTTCTTACTAACCACATCTAGAGAAGGCAGGTGAAAAAACTTCCTCTTGTAACCAGAGTGGAGGTGACGTCCCAGGGAGGGCTCCACCTGCCTCTGCATTGATGGGATGGTGATCAGACTCCCCCCAGAGACAATATTTTTCTGGGCTAAACTCTCCCAGTGACCATGCAAGGCGAGAGGCGAGAACGCAGTGGGAAGGAAGAAAGAAACATGGTTTGAGCACCTGCTGTATGCTGGGCCCTGTCTTACAGGCTATCTGATCTTATTTTTCCTCACAGCTGCCCTCTGTGGTAGGAATCATTATTAGTCCAATTTACAGATGGGGAAACTGAGGCACAGAGAGACAGAGGTGAAGTGACTTGCCCAAGATCCCATAGCTACAAAGGGGTTGAGGTGGGATTTGAACCCAAAACGAATGTTCCTTCCACTGCACAATTGCTATATCAACTCTAAGGGACCCCAACATAGGAAATAAAGGGTTCAGTGTGGGCTCCAGACTTCTGCTATGGAGGCAAAGTTCCCATCCACAAATACGTGGGGCCCAGAGCAGGCACCTGCCAAATTCATCAGCAAGTGCACCATCCCATATCACCTTTACAACAGGACAGTGGCATGGGGTCCGGTTCGCCTTGAGTGGACAAATGAAAGAATGAAAGCCCGAGCTGGTCAGCCTGAGTCTGTAATCAGGTGTAAGACAAAGTCATCCCTGCGCTCTAGGAGTTTGGTATCTAGAGAAGAGATGCCTGAGTAAAATTAAGGGGTACTCTCAGAAGTCTATGCTATGCGTAGACACTAATGGCACAAATCATTCCAGGGGATGAAAGACTGGGAGACTGGTCTGGGAGGGCTTCCTGTGGGAGGGAGGGGGTTGTCTAAGCTGGGCAGGAAGTTAATAGAGATTAGGGAATGCAAGATATGTTGGGACTGGGCTGGGCTGGGGGATCCTTCCACCCTCTCCTACTCCAGCAGGTATGTAATAAATGCCCACAGGGTGCCAGGCTTTGTGCTGGGTGTTGCACAAAACAGAGGGCCTCCTGTTCTTTCCCTCCTAGAGAGGAGAGAGTGGAAACATATAAATGAATACCTTGTTGCAAAATGTTAAATGTTTTGCAGAACACAGGAAAGACCACTAGGGTTGGGGGTGTGAGTGGCCAGGAACCTCTCAGAGGAAAGGATATTTAGTCTGAGATCAGAAGAAGCGTGAGAAAGAGCCAGCCATGAATGAGTGCATGGAAGAGCATGCC